CAGCCTTAAAAAAGAATGAAATAATACCATTTGCAGCAACATGTTTGGACCTAGAGATTATCATACTAAGTGAAGTAAATCAGACAAGGATAAATATATGATACCACTTATATGTGGAATCTTAAAAAAGGATACAAATGAACTTACAAAACAGAAGCAGACTCACAGACATAGAAAACAAACTTGTGGTTACCAAGTTTCTTATCTGTAAACAGGAGTGGAATCTGCTCAGGGTTGTTAGAAAAATCAGAAGCCACCAGAAAGCACTTGGTACCCAGCAGGCACTTGAACTGCACGGTGTGGCTGAGCAGGGAAGATGCCAGAGCTACATGCATGCCCTGTTCCACCTGGGCAGTGAAGGGACCCGGGCTCCTCAGTCTCACCTGCCGCCCAGCAGGCTGTCCCAGGCCAGTGCTCAGTAAAGGGAGGCCCGACAGAGCCTGGAGCCAAAAGACACCTGACTAACATGAACATTTTCCAGTTTTCTCTTTTCCTTAAAATTTATCATGAATGAGCTTTAATCATTTCTAAGCCAGTCTGGGAGTTGGCCTCCAGGTCTGTCCTCAGTGCCGGCTGCTGTACTGAGAGCGGCCAGCAGAGGGCGGCAGAGGCTTGGCTCAGAGAAGCCGGCTCGCTCTTACGGGCTCCTCCCGGCTCTGCCCGGATGGGAATCGCAGAACCCAGCTTTTGTTCGGTGAAGTGGAGGCAGTGCAGTCAGCACACCTCTCTGTTTACTGCTCTTTAGAGATGACAAGTAGATGGTGGCCGACGCCAGGGCTGCACGCCGAGGCCACCTCCATCCCTGGAACTTGCATCTACCTTGTGAGCGGAGACCGTTCCTTCCAGCAGGGAGGGGCAGGATTGCCCGGTTGACCCTGGAAGCTTGTGAATTCCCTAGTTTTCTGGAAGTTGTGTGGAGGTCCCCAAGGTACTAGGACCTGGACTAGGGCACAGGATTTAAGGAGGCACGCAGACTTGGGGTTGAGCAAGTGCAGAGTCTGTCGCTGAGAGGAAGCACCTCCTTAAGTCCTGTGCCCTGGGCCCCTCACCCTAGTCCTGGCCCTGCAGCTGTCCTTCCAGTCACATCACCTGGTGTGCACGGTGGGCATTTCCAGACTTGCTCTGCCCTGACGGCATTAGCTCATCTTAAACTGATGCCAGTCCATGATCACATCTCCCTGATGGTCTCAAAATGTCTTTGGACACTTTCATTTGTTTGAGCCCAGCTCCAAACCAGATCCACACATTGTATTTGGTGACTATGTCTTTTAATTCCCTTTTAAATCTAGAGAAGTTCCCACACACACATACCTTTGACCTGTTTGAAAAATGGCTTCAGTCGTCTCGAAGTGTGCCCCCCCTCCTGGATTTGCCAGCTTGCTGTGTCATCCAGTTTGTTCCTTATCCCCCGCAGTTCTTGTGATCAGCTCTTAACTCAGAATCAACTCAACACTGGCTCCCCCTGGGGAATATTAACTCTCCAGACCATTAAGTCAATTCCTGGGCTGGGTCCCGGGCAACCATAGGTTTTTAATCTTCCTAGGTGATGCCAATAACCAACCAAGTCTGAGAACCACTACTCAAGAGGTTGATTAAAATCACCTTTAACTGTTCCAGCAGGTTCCTGCCCAGTGGGTGCTCGGACTTACCACCGCGGCACACAGAGAGGCACACTATGTCTGGTTGTCCCACTGCCCAAGACTGGGCCCTTCCCTGTTAGGTTTCCTGTCGGCTTTCCATCCAATGGTTTTATCATTTTTGATCAACACTTGACTCAATCATATTATCAGGGGCTGAAAAAATGGAGCCTGGTGCTTCAGTTCTTGCAATCTTACTTGGAGCTGATGAGACATAGGCATCCCACGGATGCTGTCATTGCTGCATATAACCCACCAGCTGGAGTTTCTGGAGAACTCACCACCATTTGTGTGAGAAGCCCCGGATGTGCCCTTCTGAGGTTTTCCGGAGGGCGGCTTCAATGCTGCTGCAGACCTGAACGGAATGGCTGATACAAATGGCCAGTCATTAGTACAAACGAGTGACACCCATGACGACGGCCGCCTCTGGGGCAGGTGAGACCTGAGGGGCACGCAGCCAGGAGCTAGACTAGAGTCAGGGGAAGTAGAAGCTCCCACAGGGCCTGTACACATATGAGGATGCACCCAGAAATTCTTGGATCCACTGTCAGAGATGCCTTAGACATTCCCTCCCCCAACCCCTTTTTCTCTTACGCAACTCACTTTGACGAAGGGAAACACAGCCAGGGTAAAATTGCATGTCCGTTGGCTTGTTTGTTTGCTGGTGTTTTTATTGAGGTGAAATTCACATCAACTTAGCCATTTTAAGGTATACGACACAACGGTGTTTAGACCACCACATCTGTCTAGTTCCAGAACATTTTTATCACCCCAAAATAATATCACCCAGTACCGCCTTCCATCCAGCCTCTGTCAACCATCAATCTGCTGTCTCTATGGATTTACCAATTCTGGATATTTCATATACATGGAATCGTACAACATATGACTTTTTGGGTCTGACTTCTTTTACTGAGCATCATGTTTTCAAGGTTGATCTATGTCGAAGTGTGTCAGGGCTTCATTCCTTTACGTGGCTGAATAAGATTCCACTCAACCATGTAAAGGAATGGCTGTATGGATGGACCACATTTTGTTTATTCGTTCATCCAAAGATGGATGTTTGGGTTTGTTTGTTTATTTTTAGGGGGAGGTACTTAGATTTATTTATTTATTTTAATGTAGGTACTGGGGATTCAACTCAGGACCTTGTGCATGCTAAGCATTCGCTCTACCACTGTGCTACATCCCCACTCCCCTAGAGCCTTTTAAATGTATATTTTTGTTTTTTAACAATACAGGAAGTAAAGTTAAATGGAATAAAAAAAATCTATCCAAGTAAGTTACTTGGTAGATACCCCAATAATAAGATATCATTGGATAGGATATAATAAGGAATGCTAAGTAGATAATCAGATTTTTTTTTCAAAAAGCTTGTTCGGTGATTAATATTTGTATTCTTTAAGCATTTGAGAGGCTGTTGATAGGCTCTTGGAGGTCTCAGTTCCTAGCACCGCGTGAGTCCCTGGATGAGGCAATGGCGCTAGTTAAGTGGAACACTTATGGTTTACTCTTAGTCTCACCTGGGCAGTCATGCTGACCTGAGTCAGCTTGGAAAAGTAGGAAGGGAATCCCAACAAAAATGCCAGTTTTCCATCAGATGGGCAAAAATTTTAAAGCTTGACGATACCAATTATCAGTAATGCGGTGGAGAAAAGGGAGGTCTCACAGTGGTGGGGAGGGTGAACTGGTGCAGCTGCCAGGGAGAACATCAGACAATAGTGCAGAGCGATGCAAGGATGGCTCCTGGGGTGGGCACATCTGCAACTGCCATGAGCATGCGTCCGAGTCTCCCAGAGGCGCTCCAGGTCCGCCTGGAGGCACTCAAGACTGTCCAAAGAAAATGATTCTGTCTCCATCAGTGGGAATCAGATGAAGTGTGGTGTGACCAGATGCTGGGCTGCGGTCTTAGTTCACTTGGGCTGCCAGACAGAGTGTCACAGACTGGCTGGTTTACCAACAGCAATGCATTGCTCACAGTTCTGGCAGGGCTGGGCGAGCACTGGCTCCGGGGCTGCAGACCTTCTCGCTGTGTCCTCACCTGGTGGAAAGGACAAGGCAGCTCTCTGGAGTGTCTGGTTTTTGTTTTGTTGTTGTTGTTGTTATTTTCTCTTTTTTTATTTTTTATATCTTTTTTATTTCTTTTATATTTTGTTTGCTTTTTAAATTTATTTTTTATTTTTTAATTAAAATTTTTTTTTGGTCTGGAGCATCTTTAAAAGGCACTAAATCCCATTCATGAAGGCTCCATGCTATGACTTGAACTCCTTCCAAAGGCCCCGCTACCTGATAACATCACCTCTGGGGGTGAGGATTTCAACTTATGAATCTGGGGGGACACACTCAGGCCACAGCAGATACCCTACGGCAGTGAGAAGGAATGAACCATATCCTCGTGCCTGTCTACACCAGACTCAACCATAACAGGGCAAGTTAAAAGCAAGTTGACAGTCATTGCACATGACATAATGCCTTTTATTAAAAGCTTCAAAACATGTTCAAACAACGTCAAATAAAGCAAAAATTCAAAGAAAACAAAAATACATGTACAACAGAGATTTAGTTGATCATCAACACCACCAGATCG